TCGCAGTGACGCACCGGTTCTTCAATGGCCGCATTTGTTCAAATGAAGTAATGGCTGTGAGCGAAAGTCCCTGAACATGAGGCTGAGAGAGCTCCATCTGTAGCTCGGGTGTACTCGGATATCCAACCTGGATGGCGTTTGGGCCAGGAGACCGTTAGCGGTTGAGCCTAGGATGGCCATCGGTTGACCTCCGGGATTCGTTGCAAGCAAAGTGACGTTACACGATCAGGAACAGCACAGGGCTTACTCTCCTTGTCACCCGCTAACGTTTTATCCCATCTTCGCTTTAGAAAAAGCTAGAAGAAGTTCTTTTTGTTTTTTGCTTACTCTGTCCGCAGCGACGACATCAAATAATACTAATTAACTATGATAAGTGGCACTGAGTGTCCGGTAATCCTCAGTTATAAGAAATTTGTTAGGTATTGGTGATTTGGAATGGACGTGAGCCACCACTTGAACGTAGCTGGCCACGATTACACGTCCCCGTAATTTTCATTAACTCAACTGTGAATTCATTGAATAACCGTTTCTTACCATATGAACAGGTAAAATGTTTTTCCTTTTTCTAATTCACCATTGGATTTGAAATTCTATTTTATGGGGCGAATATGCTCGAAACGAGATGGGTAAATATTACTTCATACATAAAGTGAGGGAACACATCAAAATGGAACGTAAAACAAATCGGATAGTAGGGCACAAATTTATTAAGTTGCACAACTATGATTATGATGAATAATTAAAAATTTAGCAAATGTGTTGAAGGGTTGTTCTATCTTGATACCCTTACTCTTCATTTTTTTTTTGAACTTCAGTCCTTTTGATGTTTTCACTCTTACATTAGTTCACTATAAATCCAAACAACAGTGAGGCATAGTAGATTTAGCAAAGTCATTAAGATCTGAATGCTTTATATGATATTTATGTCTGCTGTAATATATGATATTTATGTCTGCTGTAATACAGGAAGACTATTTAAGATCTTTTTTTTTAAAGATTAACACGGAAGCAGTGCTGTCACTGGATGATGACATAGACCTCAGGCAACATGAAATTATTTTCGCATTCAGGTCTCTTTAAAATTGCTTTGTTAGACTTGGAGTTGAAATTTGAAATTGCGCGAGTGATTGTTAATACATTATTACTGAAAAAGTTCATATTAAATTATTGATCCTTTTTCATTAATAATGTATTAAACAATCACTCGCGCAATTTCAACTTTCAACTCCAAGTTATCGTATGGTCATTGACGAAAAATTGATGTAGCTTGATTCACTTCATAGAATGTCAGAAATTTTTCCTTTACGAAAAATAAGGCATTTTTGAGTACAGAAGCCATCACTGAAAAATGTGTTTAAATCAGAACCTTATATAATTGAGTTGGCTTGATTGTAGACTAAAAAATCTCTTTGGCCTAATGACGTGTAAGGTTTTGAAACATTACCTGTCCTGTGTTATTTTTTAGAGTGTGGCGTGAACAAAGGATGAAAATTGTTGGTTTCCCAGCTCGACGTCATTCTCAGCAAGGAAGTGAAGTTTTATATGACAGCAATCACACATGTCAATTGAGTATGATATTAACAGGAGCTGCGTTTATTCATAAGGTATTGAATAGGGATGATATGATTCAGCTAATTATGCAAGATTAAACCGCTATAGGTACACCAGCTGACAAGAGAATGAAGGGTTTGAAACAACAATTTTTTCGTAATCTTTCTATTATCGTCCGTTATTAGACATTCATGTTCTCACGTAATATTATTCAAATATAAAATTTGATCTCCGATTCCGCAGATGCATTTTCATGCATTTGTTATAATTTTTAAAATGCTTTTTGTCCAAACGTCGTGCTTCATCTTTCCGTTATATAGCTGTTAGAAAACGGTCAACTTTTCAGGCTTATTTATATGCCTACACGTATGGTATGCCACAGGTAATAAGGGAAAAAGTGGATGAATTTATGAATTGCGAAGATCTAGCAATGAATTTCTTAGTTGCTCATTTAACACGTGAACCACCGATCAAAGCGACCAGTAAATGGACGTTGCGGTTATTACTTTTATTCAAATTACGATTGAACTTTAAGTGTTTGTTATGTAGGATGCGAAACATCAAGTAAAAAGCTGGAGTTAATAGAACAAATGCGATGTGTCAAAAGTGTTTCCTTGTTGGGAGTTGATTATTAAACAATGCAAAGGCCCAACCACTCATAGCATTTAATGTAATTACGTCGTAATCAAATCAATTTATGGCTGGGATGTGCTACATTTAAAAATGAATCCAATGGAGACATAAAATAATCAAAGAACGATCCTTGTGGAAGACATTAGCCTTTAAATTATTCCAGTTGATCCACTTGCTTATTGCGATGTTATCGATGGATATAAGTGTACATTAAATCCCAGAAAATAAAACCATTTAAAAGCAAAGAAAATTCTTTCCAAGAACTTTTATTGTATTTTTCAGTTGCCCAGCTTGTAAAACAAATCTTTATCAAAGGACTACGCACTATCTACAACGACATGAATGCATTCAATTTTTCGCGCAAGTTTATGGATATAATCCGCTCCTCTTTACTCAACTTCGGGTAGATTCAGTACTGTTCAAGACACGTCTTCCAACTAATCATCAGAAATGTTTCAAATATGTTTAAATTTGTTACCGTTTCATCTTTTATACATAGGATAATGTATTAATAGCTTTGCAAAATATAAAGTACAATTGTTAGGTTAACATGATTACAAAATCACTTAGAATTAATACTACGGTTAATGGGACTGTTTGAAAATCCGTGCCATTCAGCTCAAAACAATCGGTGTATTTATGGCTCAGCAGTTTCATGCATTATTTCAGACTTTACAATGTCGATAGTTAAGTTACAGCGGTTCGCTGAGGCGAGCACTTGCTGATCGACATGCAACACATTATTACCTTATAGGAATCTTTTGATACAGTTTTTCAACATAGCCGACCAATTCACATCTCAGTAAGATCGAAAACCGAATTTTACGGGAAAAATAATTCTAACATGGAGAATTAATAATGGTCTTCGACTAGTTTCTGCTCCAAAATGTCAACACAAATATCAGTCTTCAAGCTGTTAGGGGCTGTTAGGGGGGATTTATATGTCAGTAGTCCAAGCTGTTATTTTGCTTATTTTGTTCATGTTATCGTCTTTTGCATGTTAAAATTTTATAACGGGTTATGATTTGAATATATGCAACTCAAAGTCTAATAAACAACGTCTTCTCAACAGCTAATCGTGTTTCGGATTATTTCGCTGAACACTAAAGAGTAACCTTAGCACCAATGCATTCTGGGTACAACAATTACTGGATGATAGATTAAATAAAGTATTTTCGATATTGGGACCGTAAGTTCTTGCAGCCCGACCCCGAAAAGCCCACATACATCCGGGGTCGATTTGTGTGGCAAGCGTAATCCCTTAGTGATTCTGTGAGAGTCAAATGGGAAGCATTCAAATCTTCTCAAGATACCGGAAAATCATAAGGTACCTCGTATAATTTGAACATATCTCGGTCTGGCATGGTTAAATGTCGTTATTCAGTAAGTGAATGTGTTTATTTGGACGTGATACACAATAAAAAAGAACAATTCCGCAAAAGGTGTTGACAGCATAAGAAAAAGTTTGTCTGCTGGACATTTCGTCAAAACACTAGAGGAAGAGAGTCTCAGAGGTATAGAACACAATATAGCAAAATTTCGGTTGGATATGGGGCGGGGAACATTCAAGCCGACCAAGAGGTATAGGATATAGAAAGCTTCCTGCCTAAAAAGTAGTAAGTTCTGTCTTGCACCTGTCAACATGATTCGGAAATTAGGAAATCTTTCCGATATGTCAAGGTTAAATACTATTGCACATGTTACGATTACTACCAACAATGATGCCCAAAGCAACACAATTGTTTCTGACAACAAAATGCGAATCATCATCCTAAAGACTAAACACAAGGTGCAGCTGAAGGTAAAACAAAGTGGCTGCATGCTTATAAAGCTGTGCAAATAGAAAGAGTACAAGAATTAAAACAGGAAGATGCGCATTTCAGTCTCAATTTATACAGGATATGACCCACATCATAAATAGGTTTCCGGGAACCATCAATAAAGTAGAATGAAATTTCCGGGAAAGGGAAAATTTTTTGGTATCTTCATCTTCCGGAAAGGTAATTTAAAACTGCTCTGAAAAACAAGAGTGTTTGGAAATAAAACATAATATTCATTTCAGTGATTATTCTAACGCAGAAAAGAATAAGATATCAAAAACAAGATAATGGCGATAAAGGTACGGACCTATGCTCCATTCCATTTTCACTTCAAAGATATTCTAAAATCAGAAGATGCTAAACAAAATAGTCTCTTAGTTCAATTTTTGCAGACGATACAATGCTTTCTTTGTGATAACAAATCTGTTCTGATAATTAAAATTCTATACTGCAAAAGAGAAGTTAAGTTTTCCAAATAGAGTAACAACCAATTAGCTTATAAACTCTTTAATTCTAAAAACAAATGGTAAAATGCAAATAAATGACAAAAAAATGAGAACAAAAAGAAATCAACTAAGTGGTACACGCGATGTGGGCGTGATTATAACACACGAAATACTGAACGCAGTAAAAACGAAACAAAACATAAAAATCACCGTATGCAATTCATAATTTTTTTCAATAAAACTTTGATTTGATTGAACTTAAAAAGAAAAGATTTAATCAAATGAATGGAACAAGTCATACAATATGGAAGAAAATGATGGAGTGATAAAAACATGATTATAATGAGCCTAAAATATATATACGAATGAATGTGTACATGTGTACACCATTTTACAACAGATTCAAAAATATAAACACACTTATGAATAAAAAAGAATAGTGAGCCAACGTAAAAATAAGTTATTGCAAAAAGTCATTAAGTATTAGATGTGAGCGTAAACTTTAGAAATTAAGAAAGAATATATTTTGAAGCGTGGATTATTCTTTTGTTCAATTTGCTGCAAACTGTTTCTCAAGCTCTTCGACACTAATACAACTAGCAGTTGGCGGAAGACGCGATATTATGGAGGGGAGATCACTTGTTGTCGTTTGTAGAGATGAACCTTTATAATAAGGTCAGTCAAATATTTCAGTTATTCAAAGCATAATTTATAAAAACCTACTGAGCTTAGAATGCAAAGAAACTTCATTAAGTATTAGTTGCCAGCACAAACAGTACTATCTTTTTTAATTATTCATTCACCGTTAAATTTTTAATGGAAGAATATTGTACGGCACCGTAACCTAATTTCCGTTAACACATACCTTGACACGGCTCTCTGTTTGGCAGCTGTAAACCTCTGTTCGCCGGTACACCCGCTGATTGGAGCAGTTTTTCTAGGGGATTCTGATATTTATATTGTACTAACGATGGGGGTGGCTGATTGTTTTGTGGCACTGGAACTTGTGCTGTTGTCGCTACTGGTTGCATAGGTACCAGTGGCGCTCCTACCTAAAAGAAAAAATTGCTGAATAAGAAGTATGGTCAAATCATTTTTTGGCCTGGAAATTCCAGCTTTTTGTTTTTTTTCATTATTTAGCAAATTCAAAGTTGGAAAGTGAAATACTACAGAGCTTTTTCATGACACGGATTACAGTCCATTTCTAAAGAATAACTAGGAAATAATTATAATTTTACTTTTTGCAAACAAAAAATTCCTTCTCATCGATGGAAATAAAAGTGACTACCGCCTACTACTGGAAGGAAGATTCCAATGAAAAGTAAAAAGGAATTTCAACGAAAAAAACAAACATGATGAGGATGAGGAGCAGCTACCGGAACACTGGGCAAAGTTCCAAAGGCTGCTGCTTGTTGTGACAGCAATCGTGCTCGAATGACCTGTGCTTGATTCAAATCACCACGCATCATCGCAAGTGCATAATGTCGTTGATGTTCTGCATGAGCTGCTAGTGCTTGTGCTCGTACTGAAGCTGTAATTTGCGCGTTCGATTGCCAATTATTCAATGATAAATTATTTTGCATTGCTGCAAGCACTTGAGCATATTGCTGCTGTAAAGCGAGTCTTGTCATCAAGTTAGCTGCATTTTTTGATGCCATACCACCAACCACAGCGTCTCCAGCAACTAAAAATCAAAGATTTAATGTTTTTCTTCGAATATTAAATTTTTATACGATTTTTTTTATACGAAATTTATATGATTTTCTTTCAATCTACCAAGATAAAGAGTAACAATGGTTAAATATTTCCAATGCGTTATTCAAAGTCTGACCAAGCAGAAACATTTGACATGTGGATGCATTAAAAATCCCATAATATAATTTCATTCATAATTTCCATTTAAGGAAAGTTTTAAGACTGACGTTTATGAGGTATATTGAAATGCTCCGGGACAAGATTTTGTTTGATAGCACCATACTGCGTAGAACATATGGGCATGTTAGAGTGACGCAGTTTTTCTTCCATGGTCGCAGTCGTATTGTTGTTTTTGGTCATCTGACGCATCACCGAAGTTGGCATAAACGAATTTGGTAGTACGCCCGTTGTAGAAGCCCGTGTTAGGGTCGGAGTAGCAGCAGTTACCGATCGTGTTTGCGTCGATTGTGATACTGTTCCATTCCCCATCATATTTGTCAAAGCATGCCTATGAACTGAATATATAGGAAGCGGATAAAAAATAAGGTAAACATCATAGACGTTCTAATGTTCTGTGACATTTGAATATTATTATAATGAATTTTGTGCTGTACAGAATACCAATTCGTAATAAAACGATTCCGAAGATTAACTGCAACATTAATGATGCGACTCTGGAATTCATCGAGTATATATCATCCAAAATTAAAGACTAGATTTAATTTACCCCTTGGTAAGAAAATTTTTAGTAAAATTTTTAGAAAAAATTTTTTAAATAGTTTAAATAAAAACTATCACCAACCTCAAAACAGTATTGTCGACTGCTTGTGCATTTGAAACAAGCGCTGACCGCTGATTAGCAGCAAGTGCGTGCAAAGCGGCTGCTTTCTCATATTGCGAGCGAAGAAACGCTGCATGAAAGGTGACATCAGAGAAAGGTGGAGGTGCCACAGGATGAGACGTTTGCGAATTCAGTGGTATCCCTGATAGATGATGTGTTGGAGCCAAAGAAATTTTTGGTGGGAGTGTCAAATTGTCTTCGGTTATCCGTGAAACGTCATCCGTCGTTCCATTTTGCAGACGTGCAAATTTATTTAGCTTATTCATGAGATGCGCTTGCTGGTGCGGATCACCAAGTGGATTTCCTTTTATTGTCTGCCATTATTGAAAAAAAATTCAAGTAACACATTTTGGAGAAATACAATGAGCAATTAAAGTAAAAATAAAAATGAAAAGTTTGAGAGAATTTAGAATTATAACTAATTACGTGCAAACTGATAGAACACTGTAAAATTTTTATCATCACAAAACATGGAAATCATAGCTATATATATCTTCAAATTCTAAAGCAAAAAACTCGATTTCATTTATTGAAATATTCCACATGCAATAGAAATCCAAAAAGAAACCTGGCTTAAATACGACTGTCCTGAATCGGACGGAAGCTGTTCGCTAGTTATTACGTTCCCAAAACCATCAGCACCAGCAGATGGAGTTGATGAATTTCCAGGAATCGATTCCTTCTGGAAATTACGTTCTAAATCTTCAACTCGCAAAACTCCTTGTACTGATGGCGCAACATGCTGAAAAATAAAATGTTAACAATCGATCAAATTATGCTATTTAATCAAATTTAATTGTTCAAAAATATAAAATGAGTAAAATTAGCAAACCGGTTCTGGAATGAATTGCGAGTGAAAAGGTCGCTGATAAGTATTTGAAAATATCTTATTGAGAACAGAAATCGATGATGAAGCTTGAAAAGGGTCAGAAATTGAAGACGACGAAGGAATAGCATGCCTCTGCTGCGAAGATTCGTTTCTACTAACACATGAATTATCTGAAAACAAAATTTATTACAAATACATAGGAAGAGAATAAAAAGCGTATACATAAATTCAGAAAATGTTAATCTAACAATTACCTGAATTCTCATATTTAGTTGTAGCAAAGAAGCGTGACAATCTGCTACCGGTTGGTTCTTTCGTCTCTGGAGATTTAATCTCATTCTGAAGAAAAACCATTAGTACTGACGCTAAAATGTGAGATAGTTACAAGTACGTAATTGTAGCCTTAGTTAGTTTGAAGAAATCTAGCTTTATATGAATAAAAATAAACTAATAAGATTTCAGAATTTGATAGCTTAAAAAGCAACCAATATCACTTTAACAAAATCAAGACGATGACTTTTACCACTGATAAATGAATTCTGCATAAAAATAATCCATAAAATTCTTACTTCTTTCAATGAGTCCAAATCGGCATCACCAAGAATACCCATAATTGCAGCAAATTCAGCATCGGTATTTGGCAATCTGCCATTTAGTAAGGGTACCGCAGTCAATGAGTTGCTATTATCAGCCGTTGCAAAAGACAGACTGCGATTTCTTAGTAGATCACCGTCACTGCTTTGATTGAGGGATGAAGTCGATATACCAACTGAGGATAAGCCTAAATCGCCAGTACCAATCTGGGAAGATGGCCTCCAGTCCGTCAAATCGGTTTTCTCATCTACCACGATTTCGTTCAGTTCATTTGCACCGGAAATCCCACTTTGTTGTGCCATCCTCATTGGATGTCTCTTCGGTCTTTGAGAAAAATCACCTGCAAGTCATACTCAAATGAGAAATATTCTCATATAAAACAAATTTAATTTGCTAAAAAACGGAAAGAAGATAGTGAAACTTTATTAGCTTAATGAAAATATTTCGTAATTACACCACCAAACCTATCTGATCAAATCAGCACATGGAATTCCTCGCACGCTAGATATGATAATGCAGCTTCCAAAAAACATACTGCATAAAAAGATAAAGTTTGCATGCACGTTCACCAATTAAAGTACACTAAATTTTCTATTTCAGCTAAGATATCTGCAATAATTTTACATAGATTAAGGTAACGTAATAAGGGATTTCGACTTACGTCTAATCTTATTGTCGTCATCAAAACCACGCAATTCAATCATATCATGCATTGATGTTGGACCATCGCTGAGCCACTCTGGAATCTTTTCGTCCGTTGTCATTTCTGCAGACTTGCCTCTCTAAAACACTTCTTACGCAATCAATAACAAAAATACATTTGTGGCAATCGATTTTGAAACAGCTACAAGTAAAAGTTTTTTTGGTACAAACGAAGAATCGCATCTGGTAGATTTTCTATCAGTTAGCTGATGAAAAAATGCTTCCCCAATTACATGACTTACAAACCATATACATCCTCCTAGAAATCCTGTGAAAAGAAGTCTCCTACCTACACTGAAATAAAATTACATTACCTGGCTTTGACCACTTTCTTTCTGATAATTTGGCTTGAATGATGTATCGCCTGAACGCCAGTTGCCTGCACTACTCGGTAAAATGCCATTTTGTTGACGAGCCCTTACAAATGAAGATTCATTGCTTCCCACATTTTTGTGCTAAAATGCGATTATTTTGTACAAGTTACCTAATCATAAACGTTCACTATCTTAACTGAGCTGAGAACTTCACTCATCAAATAGCAAGATTCATGAGAAAGGATATACTATTATTTACTTTAATCTTAAAATTTTCACCCATCACCATTTATGTGACGGGTGAAAAATATCTAGAAATTCTCGTGAAGATTAATTAAATAGCAAAACTTACAAATGATGCCTTGTACTCCGTTCCAGAATTCTTCAGCTGAAAACCAGCACCACTTCGCCAACTGGCCTTGGTTGTACCAAGTCTTTCCGTCTCTGCTTCTAATGAGCACTAATCAGTATCATTAGGTCTTTTCTGTTCACGAAATTTGTGAGGTCTTTTTGAAAAATTCATAGGAAGTAACGGTTTCGAAATACAATAAAAAATCGATAAATAGTAAAAAAAGTATCCTGTGAAATGGAATGATTTTACAAAGACGTAAGAAGTGCTCTTGGTCACAAAGTAAGAAACGTAGCACAGAACACACTACCTTCCTTTTTCTTTATGTTTTTGTCATAATTATAGAGAACATTTGTTCTTTATAATAATATAAGCACTCTCCAGAGACCTATAGAGAAATGAGACTTTGATCTCCCCAGTAACATCTCATCGAGAGTGTTAGAAACATACATGAATATGCAATAAATAAAGCTTATACTCTACTGAAAAGATGTTACCGTTCTTCACCGGCGATGCACCACGACATCCCGAAGAAAAAGCTCGCCTCTGTGGAGAAAGAATGGTTGCGTCTCCTTCCAGTGCCTCGACCTTCAACTTTTCCTTTCTTTTAATATTCGTATTCGAACGATTTTCCACTCCCTCACAAATCCAACGATATTCGAGCCATTTTTCCGGTTCAAAATTCCCCTCATCGCTGAAAATGATTATTAGTATGAGAAATGCGATTTATTAATCGGCCATACTTGATTAAGTTGCTTTACTATAACTAGAACTTAAGTAATATTCATAACTTTAACTGACAACTTCGGCAACAACGACAAAACGGACAGAATTTATTGATTCTAATAACTATATAGCTGATAAATAGACTTCCGTAGATGTACCTGATAATTTTATCAATTGTGATTAACTTAAGCAGGACCGTTTACCAACAAATACTTCCAATACAAAATAACTCACAAATTAATAATTCATAAAAATGAATTGACCGATGAATCTTCAATGCTAACTTTAGGAAAAATCGAAATTTTAAACCACTTTAGAAAAGAAAAAGGTTAACTTATCAAATTCGGTAGACAAATATTGAGGACGTATTCTGCTCAATGGCAGATCTTTTATATTCAATATTTCTTCACGGGTATACCGATACACTTCATGGATATCATTTTGCGCATCACTACAATCGCACTTTTCATGACTACTAGCAGAATTCTTACGCAACATGAACTCCTGAAATATAAACACGAAAATAAGTAAATAAATAGACAAATACATGTGCTTTATAAACGTGTACGGCACGGTTTGGGAAGGTTGACCCATGGATCATTCTTTTCCCGTTCCAGAAACATTTCCTGTAAAATTGAGTACCTCTAAGTACCACTAAGCATTTCTCACTAGTCAGTATCAAAACGTCACAAAACATGTATCGAAACGTTAAAAAAGAACGTAAAATGCAAAAAACAGGAACTGAACAAACTATATAACATTACAAAATATTGTCATTATTAAGACTATCGAAATTTTTGCCATTTTAATTCACATTTTAATTGTAACGGGATCTAGCATACGTAATACCCTTTAAAAGACTTTATGTTTTAAAAAAAATCTGGCCCAGATCCTCACAGTGCTCCTACTCTGTGGAATACTACATAAAATCTATGATATAAAACCTATTTGTCCTCCATTTCTCTACAGCGCTCGCTCTTCTAGAAGAAAACCGAAGAAAACTACTGTACCATTATCCATAGCAATAATACAATCCAAATATTACCCTTAGTACATTTGCAAATATGAAGCCCAACACAAGATTAACCGCATTCGGCGCTTACAAATGGAAATAATATTCCAACAATCTGAACAACCACTTTTATATAATTGTTACAAAAATAAGGAAGTGTAAAGTGCAGAGATATCCAGAACGATTACCATGCATCTAGATATTTTTTAGGTCTCCTATATGATGAAACATAAATGATATGATGGTTAAATACGACTTTAAAAGAAGGATTCTCACATGTAACAAGTTTTTCATAGGAGTGGTCTGAACATATAAATGGACAGAAATAAATATTACTCATTTAACCTACCTATTAAAATGTGAAATAAAATCCTTCAGCTTTTGATGCTATTATATCCTACCAAGTTATGTTCAATAAAATAATCTATGCTCGAAATTTCAGATAATTCTACACGAACATCATTAAAATAGCATAAATGAAAAACGTAATTTACACATTCATGTAAATTAGTCACAAACTTATTAACCAACTAAATTAGTCACAAACTCAAAATTCTGTCATAAAATATATACTTCTGCTAATAAAAGCGTAAGTGAATAAATTACATGGCAGCACTAGATCTGTATTCGAGTGGTTCACGTTGCGTGATGCCGTGATTTAACTCCGCCTAATGTCTTCACATAAACAGCGTGAGTAAAAAACTATCCGTACTGCACAGTATCCGTACATTTCAAACCTACGACAGGAACAGATAGGTAATCTGATTTAATCCAAACAAATCAGACGACCACACCCCCTACACAGGTATCCAATGGTTTTGCGGCCCGTGCCGAACAGTGTGAGCAATTTCATATCGTCTCGCGTGGTCGGGTCACCCAGGAAGATGCCTTGATATGTTATGTTGAGCATTGAATTTAGGCATTCTTTCGGTGGTCGTGTAAGAAGTTTGGTGGACGATGGTGTGCATGGTTTGCGTGAGGGTACTGCTATGAGTGTTTAGAGACAGTGTTATAGCCCTAACATGTGTTAGAGAGTTTACTTATGGAAGTTATCAGGGCGATACGAGAATGGTGGCGGGAAAACATTGATTGTAATAGGTACATAAAAGTACTTCAAGTCATGTTAAGGTGTATGAACGTAAGGAGTACAAGTTACAATATTTTAAGATAGTTTTCAAATGATGAGATTATTGGTCATGTAAGGACCATGTGAACATGGTAACATTAAATTATGTGAGGATGGTAAAACGTATCGTTGTGTTAGGTTAGCATGCGAATGGTGCTGTAATTGAAATAACGTGGGACTATATAGAAATTTCAAGTAGGTTAAAAAGGCAGAATTATTTATTAGTCATCTAAAATCCAGCTTACAATGAGTTTGATACTTAATACTATAAAAAATCTCTGTATGGACGTCCAGTTTCATGCAATTCCTGTTGCATTATCGTATTATTATCGTACTACTTCACCCTATTTTAGGGTTGATTTGTTGCTCGACGAGCTTGCTGCAAGCATTCAGGAACAAATTTAAAGATGGCGGTTGGAAAAAACAAAAAGATGGGTAAGAAAGGTGCAAAGAAGAAGGTTGTTGATCCATTTACACGTAAGGAGTGGTATGATATCAAAGCACCCTCAATGTTCAATGTTCAACATATCGGGAAAACGTTGGTGAATCGTACGCAGGGAACAAGTAAGTTTGGGTTGTTGGTGGCTCTATTCAACTAGGATGAGGTAAAAAGATCATCAGTACAACAAGAAATTATGATTTGACGAGTTTTTTCATCCGTCTCATATAATTTTTATTTTATAGGGTCAGTTTTGCTGATGATTAAAATGAAGCGTATTTGCTGTTAAAATTTCTGTTAATGATTTCCTAATGATATTTTTTATAAAGTTAAAATATGATATTTGATGTTGGTCTTGTCTTCCTAATTGACTTCCCTGAAGCAAATTTTTTGATATCTGTCGTATTTTATTGTGACCGAGTGTAATGAGATGATTATGATAGTGCTATTTTCATGAGCTCTTTCTACGTACACATTTCTTGAACGGTATTTCATTTTAGAAAAATTAATACTGTTAATAGAACGTTGTTGCTTAAAATTGTACATTGTTTGTGCTTTATTATGAATTTTTTTCAACGGTGACCTCTGAATATCTTTAGCTTTAATTTCTGCTATGCAAACGAAAAAGAAAATAGGGAAAATTTCACCGAAGGTTTTCGGTTAGAATATTAACAGGTAATATTTCATTGCAGAAATTGCCAGCGAAGGTTTAAAAGGACGTGTCTACGAGGTGTCACTTGGTGATTTGAACAATGCTGAATCGGAATTTCGAAAGATGCGTTTGATATGTGAGGATGTTCAGGGTCGAACTTGTCTAACCAATTTCCATGGCATGCGACTTACTCGTGATAAGCTTTGCTCCATTGTCAAGAAATGGCATGTAAGTGATGACTTGTTAGGAAAGTGCTCTTAAAATCACTGTTTTTGTTGAGCGTCATAATCACACAGGATATTTTTTTCATAATGCATACCTGCAGTTGGAATTTTTGGTTTGTTTCCCTATGAGTTTTTCTGACGTCCCCGTTTAAATTACACTATTCTGGTATAAACTGAAATAAAAATATATCGATTCTACCCCATGTTGATCGAACTGAAAGAAATTCTAGACTCTCATTGAAGCCAACGTCGCAGTCAAAACGTCGGATGGTTATTTGTTGCGACTTTTCTGTATCGGTTTCACGAAAAAAAATGCGAGGCAACTGAAGAAAACGAGTTATGCGAAGTCGTCAAAGATTAGACAGATCCGGGCTAAAATGGTAGAATACATGCAAAAAGAGGTAGGTATTTGATATCAGTCAGCTTTTTACTGTGTGGTAAATAATTTTTTGGTGCATGCTGACAGATATTCCTATCAATCTAAAAAAGTTGTAGGGAATGTTTGCCTTCGATAAATTTCGGCAATGCTATTTCGATTATCTTCCAATGCCGATCAAGGTGGGAAGTGTTTCTTTGAAAAGTTTGAATATTAAATATTCAGGTGCAAGGAAGTGATCTGAAGGATGTATGCCATAAACTAGTTCCGGATTCGATTGGAAAAGATATCGAAAAGGCGTGTTCTTATATTTATCCATTGCAAGATGTATGCATTAGGAAAGTGAAAATACTGAAGAAACCGAAGTTCGAAATTGGACGTCTTATGGAAATGCATACAGATGTCAGTACATTTACGAGTGCTGAAGGTGAGAAGATAGAAAGACCGGATGATTATGAGCCTCCCGTACAGGAATCCGTATAAAGTTTTTGTTATGTTTATAATGTAATTTCCAATTTCTGAATAAAACCCTTTTTGTTGGAATTAGAGCACAAAATTATGTTACTTAGGTCTTGCTTTACTATTGCTGCAAGAAAGACTGTATAGCGTGAGCAGATTTGAAGGTGTGATATTAAAGAGATTGTAATACCGAATATTATTAAAAGTTGGTTTTCTAGCAATGATGAATAGTGCGGCATAATCGACTTGTAGGTTAAAATGAAGCGAAACACAAAGATAAAAAACATCGCGTAATGATTTCAAGAACGAAAGATGAATGTAACAGTGACTCGTAACACTGTGTTGCGGACAAGATTTCAGGAAACACTCGTTTGATTATTTGCTCTTTCATTCGGATGGCGATATTTTAGACAGTCACCCTCGTTGCCTAGTTTTGGTGGGAGAATCTGACAAGAATTTTATGTCCGTTGTGCGCGATCTTAGTTCTATTACCAATTATATTGAGTAGTTTGATCGATTTGTGGAAAAGGAGTGAACTTGCCGTGCAATTTTATGCATAAAGGAAATCTGCATAAGAAGCTGGGATCAGTTAGTGCTGGATAATAATGCGGAAATCATAACGAGTTTCACATTTTATTACTTGTTTATTAACTTATTAATTATCAAAAGGTTTTTTAACACATCAAATTAGTTCCAGAATAATGGTATCGAAATGTAATTGTAATTGCTATGGAGTATTTGCGTCCCCAATGGGGATGAAGTAATTCATCTCGACCAAATGTATATATTTTATTCACATTGTAACATTTTTTCGTTTCATTGTTTAAATATTTTTGGGATTCAAAATGATACGGGCAGATGACATCGCAAGTTGTATTATGCAATTAATCTGTTATAAATCTGGAGTTTATCCATGGATATTTTAGAATCAGTTGGATCTTTATTTAAATTAGTTGCTGTATGACTATGCAACGGACAATTTATTTATGTATTTTGGAAGAGTGATTCTGAACTGTTTAATATCAAAAATGTTTAGACATTATAGATAGGATCAAAAAGTGAAAGAAATTTTGGGAATTTTATTTGGAAACAGAATACCATTTCAAACAATATTCGGAGGCTTCTGTTAGTCTTTCAAAAAATATTTCTCAGATTGAGGTCGTATGATAGAAAAGCAATTTGTACAGTTCCATTCAAGATTTTTGATGGAAGGTGTGAGCTACGGATTAATCAGAATATATGTGGATGAAGTGATTTACAGCTAGGGTTAAAGAATACTTATAAGATACGATCTATAATGACGAAAATAATCAACTGCAGACTGGTCGTATGCGTGACCCATAAGCTAATGGTCTTGAATTATACGTACTCCAATGGTGTCTTAGGATTAAAGTATGAGTGTATAAGGGAAACTAAAGTAAGCTTTGTGCATCAAAAATAAAATCCGAAGCAAATATGTATGCTCAAATTACAAGATCAATTCATTAGTGAGGTCAATCAATCAATCAGTTTGCATTGCTTTGGCGAAATCTTTTTCCTCAATTTAATCTTCACTGTATCTACATTTCATTTCATTGCCAGCATCAACATTTACACATCACAGGAGCTAGTATTCTTACCTCTATTCACTTAATTTGTTGCTACTATCTAAGACTAAACGTTCGATGTCTAAACAGTTTAAAACAGTTTAAAAAAATTAATAGTAAGTTTCGTTTAAAATTAATCGTCTGATTAAAAAAACATAATAGAATAACTGGAAATTTCAAAATATTTTATAGGAAGAGTTTGGATCAAGCTATTATCATGTCTGGCAGAATTCAGAATGGATAGGTGTCTATAATAAGACTTCTGCAGATCTTTCTTTTCCTACCTATCAAAGATGTTAGCTTAGAATCTTTTCAAATAACAACCGCACAAACAAAATCATACAAAAATCCAATTTGCTCAACTTAACAATTGTCTTCGGCTCCTCTCAGGTAAATGTTATCAAATAACTTTAGTACGAGATAGTGTAGTTATAAGGCTAATCGTACAAGGTCAAATGTAGAGATAAATAAATGTTAATTTTATAGTTGGTATTACGTAATGCTGATATGCAAAGAAATAAACGTAACATGTTTAAACATTTAATTTTAAAAGTTCTAAGTAATTTTCTGCGTACAAAAAATTTGTTAGTTAATCGATATTAGACTGTTGCTATCAATCCTTATGATTTGTAATTTCACATGCTTATCCTTCTGTAGATGTAGCAATGCTATGTTATAGCACTTCAAGCATAATTATTTTAGCATTTCAATGAGATACCGATCAAAGTGTATTTGCACAGGAATAGATCTCATCAACTGTCTGAAATAGAACGCACCTTTGTTTTTTGTCAAATAGTAAATGACCACAATTTCTAATTTTCAAATATATTCAAATTTCTTTAACTTGTTTATTTTTTTTTTAATTTAAAAGTTGACCTCAGATAGACAACGTATGACTTCTGTCGATGCAATGAATGTTTTCGTTTGTACATCATGTGGAAAATTATACACTGTTAATGTACCATCCTGTTGATCGATCATGCCTAAATATGGATATCAGCAAATTTAAATCAGATGCCAGAAGGACTTTTTGTAATCATGAAGCGATCGGAAAATAGGAATTTGTAATTAGTATTGACACCTGATTATTCATTATCTCTTACAGTTGCTAGCAGTTGAAAGAATTATTGGTGAAAAACTCATTCAAAGTTATACTGTTTGTTAGAGATTCAGGTACTGGATAACTTAGCAGGAGCTGTCGGTAAACTAATTCAATTCTAATTTAGCAATATTGTGAATTTAAATCCTAATATTCGGGAAACGGCTTGGAATTTTGGAGACGGTTCTGACCTTGGAATTTTTTATCAAGAATCATTTGGGCCAATTTCCTTTCAATTCTTTCAACTGGAATGCGGATATTTTTCGCTAGTGTAGCCATCTAAAATCGAGGCTTTCTTTGTAAAAGCCTTCTTATCTTAAAATAACAATTTAGAATGTTAACTTTTAGAATTGAATTTCGACTGAAAAGTAATATTTTAAAAATGAATATTTTGAAATAATATAAAGAACTATAGAGGAATATTTCAGGAGCTTACTACAAGTCACCTGAAATCATAATTGTCGAAGTGAAAATAACATTAATTATAATTCTATCACTACATGATTTTGTTATAAATTTTTAGTATTTCAAAGATCCTAAGAAGTATAGAAAAAATGGTAACACTTCAATGAGAGAGTAAGGTTCAATGGCCCGATTGATGTCCTTTTCAAGTACTGTATCGGCAAGAGAATCAACATATCTGCGGATTATTAAATCTGATTGAAGTTCTACATTATATTCTTCAATTACCTGTAAAATTTTCGTACATCTCGAAGGACGTTCTTTTTCTAATCACTTCATTAAAATCTTTAAAACAATAAAATTAAATTCCTAAGTAAAGAATTAGCAGCAAGATATCTTCCGATGCTGGATTTTTTATTTGGAAAGCGGAGAAGTCAGGCTAGTATGGAAAATTATGCTTCTTTTGTAAATGCAAACCTTGTAATAATTTTGCAGTGAACGATTCTCAAATGCTGCTGTTATATTTTTGATGGCATCAAGACCGCGGTCCGAATATTTCGCTGCTTGTTTGCTGGACAGCAATAATCGCACTTCTGTTTCTTCGTTTAACATAATCTGAAAAATGCAAATAATTTTTGAATTGAAAGAATACGGAAATGGAATTCGATCTTTATATTCTAAAGTAATTGAATATGAAATTTTAGGGATGGAAAATATTCTGCAATTTGAAGATGAAAACACATACTTTTGCAAGACACATATATTTAAGAGCTTTTCGAGCATTGACTTCATCCTCATTGATGTCAAAATTTTCAAATGCTTCATAAAAATATGAGTAAGCCGTTTTGAAATCATGATCTTCCGCCATGTTCAGTATTCCTGACTCCATATCAAGTTGAGCCTAAGCTATAAGAATTACTTTAGTTTGAAAAAGAGTGTAGCACTGAAATCACTCAATCAGTCATACTTTTGAAAACATCTCTTCAACATCACCTCTTGTAGATATATTTCAGAATCGTGGAAAGAGCAACCTGTAATTTAGTTTCAATGGATAAAGAGTTGGCTATAGTTCGTGCAGCCACGAGAGCAGTACGAGAACGATTCAAATTGTTAAGCGCAAATGCGGCTTTGCTTTCTTCCAGATGTACTTCCAATTGGATATCCTTATTTTCAACTTTCTTCAACTCATTCCTCAATTTTGCGCCTGTATATCCAATTACAATATGCTGTTGAAGATGATGATGAATGTTAAAGGAAAAATGTAATTTGAAATTCGTTTCATTAAAAGGTTCTTAGTTCAAATTTGCATATTAAAATAAGAAAATGGAGCCGAAGAAAGTGGAGGAGAAAGTTAGAAAGAGCGAACGTGATACGAACTAATGAAAGTATTATCCGAAGCATTTTCTCTTCTCTCAAAATTTCTCAGTCATAGCAAAAATGAAATGTCGTTAAAACGGAAACTTCTTCCGGATGCGTTTTATATGAAATGAACCGACCCATAGCTAATACATCGGTGTGTCGTCCTATTTCATTTAATAAACGCATCAGTCGTACTTCAAGCATATGCCGTAAAAATATTCGATTTTGTTGCTTTGCCCAGTGAATATATTCCATGCATAATGCAAGCTGTGATAGGAATATTATAATTTCGTAAATTTTATCACAACAATTATGGATAATATCTTATATATTGCTAGTCGCGAATAATATCTTATTATCGAGATCAGTCTACGCTTAACTTAGTTTTCACAAAAATTTCAGGAATAATTAATCACCTTAAAGTCGGAATCTCTTCCAATTTTCAGACACCAGTCGATTATATTACGAATCAATTTTACAGCTTTTGCCATACCGTAAGAAAGCAGATGTGGCCTCAGCGAAGTTAATAATTTCGTTAAACCTTCAATTTGCAAAAAAATTTTGTGGAAAATAAGGGTTTTTTAAATGATTCATATAATTCGTTAATTACTCTTAAATTTAACTGATCTGTTAGAATATGATTTTGTTCAAATTTGAAATAGCTGTTGACTAAATTTGAACTGGATTTGCAGAAAGCTTCTAAAATGATTCTTTTTATTCGTTTCAACTTAAATTATTCTTCAGCTAAATTAAATGCATTAAATGCCTTCGATATCATTGGCTTGCGACATTTTCTTGGCCATCTCCATGATTAAATCTTCACGGCGCTTTAATTCCTCTCCGTCATTTTCGTTTACCTTAGAACTGACTAAATTAATAAAAGGTTAGGAAAATGCTTCTATCATTCACTACAATTATTTCAGTACCGATTATTTATTCATTATTCAATTAACGCATCATAGTATTCTATTTTTTACCAATTACTTAACAATTTCATTCAAGAATATTAACCCTCTATGGATGCTAAAATTAAACGGTGGTATTATAGCTATTAATTTATGATAGATATGGTATCTTTTTTGGTTCACTTTTTATAAAATACGAAACAGACAGAAATTATCAAAATCAAGTTAACATACCAAGAGTGACCAGCTGTTGGATCGAAAGATTTTGAACTTCCAAATTCGGCATACAGTTGATATATCCGACCGCTTTAGCTCATATATAATAAGACAATAGTAGAAGATCAATTTAAGAAGAACTAAATATAATCCAGCTTATATTAATCATACATGCAAATCATTCCAATTTTTTTAATTAACCTGGAATCGAAACGAGAAACCGAAAAGTGCATCACTGCGGCATGCAATATTTCATACTTATCAAAATTAGATACGTTATGTATCACAGGATAGTGGTCTCTTTCAGATGTATGCAATACTAAACCTTCTCTAAAATTGCGATAAGAGAGATTACAAATATGATTGATAATGGGGGAAAAAAATAACTGTCTGAAGTGATCCAAAGAATTCAATTTTTAATCGATTTCATCTTTTACTAATTGCCAGCTGTTATCATTCCCACAAAATAATTTTGCAGCTAACAGACAAAACGTTTTAATAATTTTTTTTCACTCCAAAACATCCTCTCACTTTAGAATATATTGTTTATTTTATTCATTTCAATGGTTGAAGAATCATTCATTTGTTTTATTTGTTGCAATACATTTTGTCATTCGGCAACCTTTTTTTTCAATTAGCAACAAAGGTGAAGAAAAGAAAGATAAAATTGAAATGAAATAAAATTTATTTCATTATTTTAGATTCATAAATACTCTATGAATTTCTCAATTTAGGATTAATCTATGAATAATGAAAATGTATCCTTCACTTAGATGTATATTTATAAATATATATGTAAAAGTGATAGTAATATCATTTATTGATTAAACCGAGAGTTTTATAATTAGTGTAAAGTTATATCGGGACGACTGTCTAAGGTTTGAAGTGCAGTGAATGCGATCAACATCCTATTTTTCATTTTTTTCGGCCTTCCACAGAATTATTGCTCTCATTAAACGAAGTTGTCTTTTCATTTATCTATGCGAAAGGATTAATCCTATTGCTGTCATTTTTTACAAAGTATGATTGGAGAAATAATCTTTTATTGGCAATAAAAACTTCTGTCACATAAAAACTTAACAAAGTGTGGCAATTGTGTTCCATCTATACATATTGATTTATTGTTGATTAGTAAAAAAACGTTGTGAAAATATAACAAAATTAATCTTATTGATCGGAATATCGTTCTTGCATAAATCTATTTCTCTTTGATCTTTATCTTTTCCTCTATTCCTAGACACGTAACCATTTAGTATGTGTGATATTAATTTTATTTCAAAAAGAATAAAATTAAAAACCAAAATATGATGAAAAGTGCTATATGTCACCATTGATGACAGCCAATGATGAATGATAAGATCTCGCAAAATTTGTCTTTTCAGGCTTGCTTAATTCAGTTATACATAAAAGATCGATCTATTTCATATATATTTCAACCTATTTTCTATTTAGCAGCTTAGAGCGTAATTTTTTGCAAAATATTTTTGCATTATCTATTTGTTATTTATTTTATTTTAAACTCAAATTTGATTTCTAATTTAAATTGAAACTTTATCTTTACGCCATGCAAATGATATCAATTAATTTAGGTAATTTTAATTTCATTTTGTACAGAATTTTAATTGACTTAAGAAGAAGTTTAACATATAATGAATATCTTTGAAGTAATTTTTATTCTTGAAAATGTCCTTTTTGTATATCAAATTATAGAGAATATATTATTTCGAACATTTTCTTCTTTAATAAAAATCATAATTGATTATTTCACGCATTTTATAAAAGATAATTTTAATTTGGAGTAATTAATAAATAACGTTGAAGAAATAAATGTTCACGTAAGTTTTAATGATTTAAATAAAAAATGAAATTTTGCTCATTTTCGGGAATTCATTTCACATTGAAGAAAATTTTGACAATTTTGACATTTTCCATTCTCATAAATCGTTTCGAAAAAGTTAGTAGAAAATGAGTATTAGTTATAAATGACTGGAAGAATGAATGAATATTCAATATTTGAAATAACTACAAGAGAGAGAGAGAGAGGGAGAGGGAGAGAGAGAGATTATATTCTTCCATATATTCCTTTCTTTTTCCTTACAATATTATGTTACAAATTATGTTATGTTTTTTTCTTCTTTCTTCTTCTATTTTCAATTCTCTCAAAAATTTTAGTCAGCAATGAATTCCTTTAAAGCTTCTTGAAATAAGCTAACTACAAGCTTAAAAAGATTACTCACCATGAAACTCACTTGGTCAAACTCATTTTTCTTTTTTTAAAATTGAAGTTGATTGGATGCTATTAATACAACTTTTAGTTGGTGTCCGCAAAGCATGTCTTAGTAGATGATAAATTATTTGTGTTGCCATAAACTAAGTATACCCTTAAAACCATTCAATCAATCAAATAGTGTTATTTGGATGAATATGTAATTTCCAAACTACTGATAGTATCACGCTTTCATAAGCTAAATTAAGAGACAGTCAGAAAGGATTACATCTCAGAAAGCAATTATTTCATAAATAATTTTTAAAATTTTTGATTTCAAATAATGCAAATCGATTGGCAGTTATTTGAAATAGCTTTACTGTTAATCATTTTAACTAAAAATCTCAAGAGAACTAAAGAAAGCTTAAGAATTTAGGACATTTCAAGTTTTCAAAGGGTGGAGATATAGATGTACATTTATAGGAAATACAAATAGGAGGCGCAAAAATTTTCAAAATTTGAGACTGAAAGCCAGTCGTTGTCAGAACAAACTTTGTGACCAGTCACTCATCTGTCTGTTTTACTAAATATGTAAATATGTAATTCATATTTATATACCTACACCTGTACCTGTACTTGTACTTGATTGTGTACGAATATGTTAGCAATTGATGAAATGCCTATATCTTCTCTCATCCATTATTTGATTAATTATATGTTCTGAAGAATTTGTCACTCTACAAATGGAAAATTAAAAAACGTATCAGTTTAACATAAGTCCAATTGTTTCTTCTTTTCTCTGCTCCCTTTTCTCCTTTTCTTCTTCCCCTTTCTCTCCTCTTTCCTCTTTCTTCTTTGATTCCCGGACTACTTTCTTGTCTTTCTCTTCATTTCAATCAATTTAAACGAATATCAATGAAAGACATCAATTGTGGATTCTTACATTCGTCGTATATTGTGACAACTTACGGATCATTACCATTTTTTTCCTTTCAATTTAAATATTTGAATAAGTGACCAAAACCTGTTAGGCTGGCTTTATTTACTTTTATTTACTTTCCTGTTTTTCTTCGCCTCCATACTAACAATCATTCATTCTCATCACAGTAATGTATAATCAAATGATAGATCGGTTATTTTGTATCGTATCCATTTGTAAGTGAAATTGTGAACTTTATCGTCATTAATGTTAACAATGTTTGAAAGAGCAAATTTCTGCTATTACATCATAGCAGTAATGTGGAACATCAAATGAAAGCTGGAAATAATTAATACACTTCTCTAAAGCAATTAAACATTCTCATTCAAAACGTTACACTCTCCAACAAGTTAAAACGTTTTTTCTTCTTTTTGTTGAATTTAGTCTGCCTTTGTGAAAAATTGAACTTAGCTTTAATTTATATCGTAGAAATTTGGTGAAAAGAAGTGGGAGAATATGAAGCAATTCTTTCAATTATATTTTTTAGACAAAATATTTTTATTTGTTGTTTGGCCATTTGATTGATTGAAAGTGCCCTCTTGTTTGGCTTTCTTTCGGCAAGTTTTTGATTGACATGCTTACACGATATTTGATACCGTGAACTATATACAATGCTGGGTGCGCAGGTAATTCGAACAAAACAGGTTAGATATGTTTTCTTCGTTTTCATTGCTGACATTTTTTAACTTTTATTTCTCATCTTTATATTCTTCTCTTCTCATTCTTATCATATGAAAAATGATAATGATATGATAGATTGTTCAAATTCTTTCTCAGTAATTTTTGACTCTTTCCCTTTTATAAAATATTTTAAGTTTTGTTTTCATTTTTGATTACTGTAAAGAAATAAAAATATTAATAATAAAATGACAGCTTAAAAAATTCCTTTTATCGATTGAAATTTGCATATTTTGAGGTGAAAAAAAAAGATGTTTAAAATGTTTTCATCCATTAACTTCTCCATTCCCTCCATTTATATTCTCCATTTATCAATTTGATCAATATCCATCCACTAAGGTAATCAATAATTCTCCTCTTCCTTCTTGAAGTATTGAATATTGCAAACATATTTATTCTGATCTTTGAGACTTATTCTTTTTAGGTATACGCAATGATTCTTTCATTCAAGGGATAATCTACATAGAATTTAGATGAAAAAGATAATAGAAAGAAGAATGAAAGAGATAGAAGTACCATTTACATCTATTTTAATGAGTACATTTTCAAATGTTTGTTGTTAATGAGTTGTGGTATAAATGATTGGCATATTAGTTACTGGAAGATTTATGGTTCAATTCTTGCTACCGTATGCTTCGTATAACCAGAAAACAGAAAAGTTTTGAAAAAGAGACTAATGCTTGCTACGAAAAGTAATTAATCAGATATATTCAGCATACATACTGTTTCCGATTAAGCAGCAATATTTCATTATCTTAAAAATGAAGCCAAAATAAGTAATGGAAAATGTCGAATAACTTTTTTCATTTAAAATTAAATTAAAGAAAAATGAAAAAATGATAGCAACTTTCTCATACATTTAATGTTACGATTGAAATACGATATAATCAATGAAAAGAAATTTTTGTGGCATAAAATTTCATTTATTTCAGTTTTGATGCAAATTATATAAATTGAATTGCAATTCAAGTAGCATTAGTCCTTTTTTGCCTGTTCCCTTTGCTTTTCTTCCACAAAAAGTTTCCCTTTCGTCAAAAAATTTCAACACATATAAAATGATCATAAAATTAGAATACAAATGAGATTAAAAATTCGCATAAGCCATTTGTTTCTATTTTTCACTTTAATATATTTTGAAAATTTTAAGTTTGAATAGCTCATTACTATAACATTGCATAATTTAGTAAAACATTAGTAATTTATTTGT